TATTAAATTTTTTATTATTACCAAATAAATGAATAAATATTTGAAAACAATTGTTTTTTTTATCGTTAAATAACAATTATTGATGTATTAGTTTTTTTTACGCGAATCACGACATATCCCTCTAGATTCATTCCACTCTTCCATTAAGTCAATTTCATAAATTAATAAAACACCTGGAATTTAAAAAATATATTTTAACCATGTATATTATTTTAAACATAGAAAGAAAACTCATTTTGTTGAAGTAAAATCACTATTCACTCTTTCTGGTATTTTTCATACTAAAATAAATTTTATAAACCTCATCAATATTTATAATTAAATTGAATAAATGCATTGGAAGCATCAGTATCATACAAAAGTTTGTGATCTAGTTTTTAAGAAAAGTTCAACATTATGTATATTTATTCTAAGAAAATAAAAGTATCATAATTTAAAATAATATGCACACAACAAATATCTCCTTCAAAATTATTCTACTAGAATACAAATTTTTCTATCTTCAAGCAACAACCATAAAAGAGATTCAGAGAATCCCCAATAGAGGCCAAACAACAATTGCACTAGTACTGAACTAGATTTTTTTTTTCCAAATAGACCAACAGAGAAAAATCACCAAATCAACACGTCGTAATTGGTTGTTTTGTCGTAAATAATATTGTATGTCTCGTCAAGTCGTAGAACCTTACGATTTTTGTCGCGAAATTGTGAATTGAATCGTGACACATTCGCTTGCAATAGAAAAACAATGTTTTTTTGGGAAGGAAAACAGTTTTTGTTTTAACACACATGTTTGAAAAGAGATGATGTTGATCTTAATTTCGAATGATATTTGTTAAGAATCTGAAAAATGAAAATGGTGGTGAGTAGTTAACAGTAATGGTAAATCTAGAAGATTCGTGGAAGCGAATGTTTGGTAGTTGCGTTTTGAGTCGTTGGATAATAGCGGCATAAATGAGACATACGCGGCACGCCGAGACACAGAGACAAATAAAAGAAGCAGTGGTTCGATTATTTCCCTTTTATCTATTGGGTTCTCTCAGCCCCTTTCTTAGCGCTCACAAACTCAACACCATGATGTGGGAATGGGGCGATTACGAAGACGCCATCCCAGAATCCGACCAACCCGAACCCGATTCTCATCTCAACTTCGATTTCTTCTCCACCCTCGCCAAACCCAAGGTGCTGCACATTCTAACATAACTCTTCAAACTTTGTTTTATGATTAGGGGTTGTTTCTGTAACTGCATATTGTGTTGTGTTCTGTAACTGCATATTGTGTTGGGGCAGGATTATTATAAGATACTGGAAGTGGATTATGATGCTACGGATGATGATATTCGCTCCAATTACATTCGTCTTGCTCTGGTGTGTTCTGTTGTAAGCGTTTTCCTTTTGTTGGGGTTTCCGATTGGGGCTAATGTGGGTGTGGTTGTGCGCGCAGAAGTGGCACCCTGACAAGCAGAAAGACCAGGATTGTACTACCTCGCGATTCCAAGACATAAACGAGGCCTACCAGGGTATGTATGTATCTGTCTATCTATATATTTGTTTTTAGGGTTAGGGATAGGGATGCCATCGTTGTTTATAGCGTGGGAGATTCTATTTTGATTAGGAATAAGGCCATATTATTTTATACAAGTTAGTGCTATCGTGGTTTTCTAAATCAGTTTTAAGAGGTTGGAAGTTATTACTAGCTATCTAGAGTGTATTCTACTTAAGTTCTTTAGGGTTATTATATCACTGCATTAGTTTATGCATAAGTTTGTCGAAGTTGTTTTTTTTAACTTTTTTTCTACAATGACTTTTAATTATTTTTTTTTCACCTAGAAGTGTTCATGAAGAAAATTTCAAAAGAGACCCTTTTTGCCTTTTCCCATACTAAAATTTTTCGGGAACTGTTTCTGTTTTGTTTAATTTGTGCCTAAGGCGGGTGCCTATTAATGTATTGAAATAGAAGTGCTGCTTAAATATGATGCTCGTATACTCTAAGGGAATGAAATAGTCAATTGTTTGGCATCGGGGTGGTGTTTTGTGTGATAATGTCTGAAAGGTGTGCTTGTGGTTTTGAATTTTAGAAATACAAAGGATGAAAAACTTGAGCAAGCTTACTTATGTTAAAATTTATTTGAAAAAGCGTAGGAATAGTGATGCTTATGGTTTTGAATGTTGGGTTCTGAAGTGTCACCATTGTAGTGAATGAGAAGTTGTGCAATAGACAATAATATTATAAGTGAATGAGCGTGTCCAATAGAAGGTTGGAGTTACACCTATTGAGGATTAGATGACTAAATCTTGCCCATGGTGGTTTGACTTTGATCTAAATGGTGCGTCTGAAAATTTTGTCATAGCACAATGACGTTATTTGACTATCCTTGTTGCTGGATGGGTATTTGACTAAACTCTGAGCACTATAAGCTGAAGTCAAATGTACATCTTGAGTTTGATTGGCCTTGTTATAACTAGCCTTGTAGGACATATGCAATCATGCTTACAACTAGCATGGTTCATTTACTGAGTTTATTTTCTGTCTGTTATAAGCTTAAAACAATGTAACCTCAATGTAAATTGAGAGAGAAGGCTCCCATATAAGACCCGGGAAATTCCAATGTAATAAAAGAATGATTGTGATCTTGCTAAATGTTTTTTTATGAGAAGGATTATGCTTTCACTTGTGTTGTGTAGCCCAATTGGTGAAAGCTCCTTGTGAGGAGTCGGTGGTTTTGTGTTCAAACCCTATTGGGTGCATAAATTGTTTACGAGGAAGTTTTCTTTTACACAGAAAAGAACCCTGCAGTGAGAATTAAAAGGGAAAGCAGTGTACAGTGGTTAGTGTGGTCAGAGAGTGAGAAAGAATAGGAAGAACTTGGACTGTGTTTGTAGAAGCACGTATAGGTCAAGCTACCTATTGGTTTAAAAGGTAAGGGGAGCTGACCCTTGCTATTGTTTTCTATGTTTGCTGCGTGAAATTCTTGAGTGTATAAAACATGCTCATAATGCTGTGACGAGTGTCTTTCCCTGCTATTTTCTGGAGGTTTGACCTTATTCACTGATTGATGAATATCATGAATGAACCCTTTGCTTAGTCGAATGACTATCCTTTGCCTGAAATTGGATTGCTGCAGTGAATTCTGATATTTATCTGAATTATACAGCCTCCGAGAGCTTAACCTCCCTCCAAAGAACTACAAGAGTTCCCGCCAAACAATAACACTCCAAAATTGTCCTCTCACCAACCAAGCCACCCCTTTTATACTGACTTTCCTAACTGCCTTGGCAGTTAGGCTGGGTAACGTTTCTCCTTCTACTATATACAATTAGTTCCCTAACATTACTCCCCTTCCCCCAACAACCTTGTCCCCAAGGTTGAATACCGGAAACTGCTCTTTTTTAGTCGCCCCGTCTTCCCACGGTGGCCGCCCTCTTGTCCCCTTCTTGCCAATCTAACAACACCTGAGGTATTTCTTCTTACTCCAGCTGCCTTGTCCTTCTGTCAAAAATCCTTACCGGCCAAAACATGGGTCGGTAGGCTTGTAATTCAGCTGGAAGTTCCTCTCAACCCTCTTCTCACCCACAGCCTTCTTTAGTTGGGGAACGTGAAATATTGGGTGTATTCTTGCTGCCTCGGGTAATTGTAAACGAAAAGCTACTTTCCCCACCTGCTGTACCCGTGCAGGGAGCTTCAGTCAATTGGCCCAACACATCACCGCCTGTCCCCTGCTCCACTACGCACATTTCCCAAAATTGAAACCATGACTCAGCGTCCATTATTTTTGTAAATGCGTCTGTGTCACCCAGCTGTCCTGCCAAGGCTGGGTCACTGCAGATTTTCTTCTTTTCTCCATCCACCACATACAGCATAGACATTTCTTTCCAGTTAATAACCACCTCACCCAGTTTTGCCAACCATGCAATACCCAATATTAAATCCACTCCACCGAGATCAAACACATGCATGTCCTCCTCTACCTTCACATTACCCAGCTTCAATCCCACCTTTTCACATCGCCCCCGAGTCCACTTCTTACACCCGTCACCCAAACTCATCGCGTATGTGGCCGTTTCTGTTACCGGAAGCCTCAGTTCCTCCACCACCTTCCGGCTAATGAAATTGTGGCTGGCCCTACTATCGATCAGGACTACCACTCTTCTCTCCCCTATCAACCCGGTCAACTTCAGGGTCTTGGAAGGCGTCAGCCCCTCCGCCGCACATGCCGACAGCTCCAGGGTTTTTGCTTCCAGGTTAAAGTTTTCCTCCCATTCCTCCTCCTCGTCTTCCGCTAGTAACAGGACCCTTAAGCTCTTCTCCGCACATCGATGACCCGGAGCGAATGGTCCACCGCATCGGAAACACCTTCCTTCTTCCCGCCTCTTCAGAAACTCTGGATAAGGTNATCAATATTTATAATTAAATTGAATAAATGCATTGGAAGCATCAGTATCATACAAAAGTTTGTGATCTAGTTTTTAAGAAAAGTTCAACATTATGTATATTTATTCTAAGAAAATAAAAGTATCATAATTTAAAATAATATGCACACAACAAATATCTCCTTCAAAATTATTCTACTAGAATACAAATTTTTCTATCTTCAAGCAACAACCATAAAAGAGATTCAGAGAATCCCCAATAGAGGCCAAACAACAATTGCACTAGTACTGAACTAGATTTTTTTTTTCCAAATAGACCAACAGAGAAAAATCACCAAATCAACACGTCGTAATTGGTTGTTTTGTCGTAAATAATATTGTATGTCTCGTCAAGTCGTAGAACCTTACGATTTTTGTCGCGAAATTGTGAATTGAATCGTGACACATTCGCTTGCAATAGAAAAAAAATGTTTTTTTGGGAAGGAAAACAGTTTTTGTTTTAACACACATGTTTGAAAAGAGATGATGTTGATCTTAATTTCGAATGATATTTGTTAAGAATCTGAAAAATGAAAATGGTGGTGAGTAGTTAACAGTAATGGTAAATCTAGAAGATACGTGGAAGCGAATGTTTGGTAGTTGCGTTTTGAGTCGTTGGATAATAGCGGCATAAATGAGACATACGCGGCACGCCGAGACACAGAGACAAATAAAAGAAGCAGTGGTTCGATTATTTCCCTTTTATCTATTGGGTTCTCTCAGCCCCTTTCTTAGCGCTCACAAACTCAACACCATGATGTGGGAATGGGGCGATTACGAAGACGCCATCCCAGAATCCGACCAACCCGAACCCGATTCTCATCTCAACTTCGATTTCTTCTCCACCCTCGCCAAACCCAAGGTGCTGCACATTCTAACATAACTCTTCAAACTTTGTTTTATGATTAGGGGTTGTTTCTGTAACTGCATATTGTGTTGTGTTCTGTAACTGCATATTGTGTTGGGGCAGGATTATTATAAGATACTGGAAGTGGATTATGATGCTACGGATGATGATATTCGCTCCAATTACATTCGTCTTGCTCTGGTGTGTTCTGTTGTAAGCGTTTTCCTTTTGTTGGGGTTTCCGATTGGGGCTAATGTGGGTGTGGTTGTGCGCGCAGAAGTGGCACCCTGACAAGCAGAAAGACCAGGATTGTACTACCTCGCGATTCCAAGACATAAACGAGGCCTACCAGGGTATGTATGTATCTGTCTATCTATATATTTGTTTTTAGGGTTAGGGATAGGGATGCCATCGTTGTTTATAGCGTGGGAGATTCTATTTTGATTAGGAATAAGGCCATATTATTTTATACAAGTTAGTGCTATCGTGGTTTTCTAAATCAGTTTTAAGAGGTTGGAAGTTAATACTAGCTATCTAGAGTGTATTCTACTTAAGTTCTTTAGGGTTATTATATCACTGCATTAGTTTATGCATAAGTTTGTCGAAGTTGTTTTTTTTAACTTTTTTTCTACAATGACTTTTAATTATTTTTTTTTCACCTAGAAGTGTTCATGAAGAAAATTTCAAAAGAGACCCTTTTTGCCTTTTCCCATACTAAAATTTTTCGGGAACTGTTTCTGTTTTGTTTAATTTGTGCCTAAGGCGGGTGCCTATTAATGTATTGAAATAGAAGTGCTGCTTAAATATGATGCTCGTATACTCTAAGGGAATGAAATAGTCAATTGTTTGGCATCGGGGTGGTGTTTTGTGTGATAATGTCTGAAAGGTGTGCTTGTGGTTTTGAATTTTAGAAATACAAAGGATGAAAAACTTGAGCAAGCTTACTTATGTTAAAATTTATTTGAAAAAGCGTAGGAATAGTGATGCTTATGGTTTTGAATGTTGGGTTCTGAAGTGTCACCATTGTAGTGAATGAGAAGTTGTGCAATAGACAATAATATTATAAGTGAATGAGCGTGTCCAATAGAAGGTTGGAGTTACACCTATTGAGGATTAGATGACTAAATCTTGCCCATGGTGGTTTGACTTTGATCTAAATGGTGCGTCTGAAAATTTTGTCATAGCACAATGACGTTATTTGACTATCCTTGTTGCTGGATGGGTATTTGACTAAACTCTGAGCACTATAAGCTGAAGTCAAATGTACATCTTGAGTTTGATTGGCCTTGTTATAACTAGCCTTGTAGGACATATGCAATCATGCTTACAACTAGCATGGTTCATTTACTGAGTTTATTTTCTGTCTGTTATAAGCTTAAAACAATGTAACCTCAATGTAAATTGAGAGAGAAGGCTCCCATATAAGACCCGGGAAATTCCAATGTAATAAAAGAATGATTGTGATCTTGCTAAATGTTTTTTTATGAGAAGGATTATGCTTTCACTTGTGTTGTGTAGCCCAATTGGTGAAAGCTCCTTGTGAGGAGTCGGTGGTTTTGTGTTCAAACCCTATTGGGTGCATAAATTGTTTACGAGGAAGTTTTCTTTTACACAGAAAAGAACCCTGCAGTGAGAATTAAAAGGGAAAGCAGTGTACAGTGGTTAGTGTGGTCAGAGAGTGAGAAAGAATAGGAAGAACTTGGACTGTGTTTGTAGAAGCACGTATAGGTCAAGCTACCTATTGGTTTAAAAGGTAAGGGGAGCTGACCCTTGCTATTGTTTTCTATGTTTGCTGCGTGAAATTCTTGAGTGTATAAAACATGCTCATAATGCTGTGACGAGTGTCTTTCCCTGCTATTTTCTGGAGGTTTGACCTTATTCACTGATTGATGAATATCATGAATGAACCCTTTGCTTAGTCGAATGACTATCCTTTGCCTGAAATTGGATTGCTGTAGTGAATTCTGATAGGTTCTTGGGATCAAGAACCTATGGAAAAACACTCGAGAACACACAAAGACAATTTATCTGAATTATACAGCCTCCGAGAGCTTAACCTCCCTCCAAAGAACTACAAGAGTTCCCGCCAAACAATAACACTCCAAAACTGTCCTCTCACCAACCAAGCCACCCCTTTTATACTGACTTTCCTAACTGCCTTGGCAGTTAGGCTGGGTAACGTTTCTCCTTCTACTATATACAATTAGTTCCCTAACATTACTCCCCTTCCCCCAACAACCTTGTCCCCAAGGTTGAATACCGGAAACTGCTCTTTTTTAGTCGCCCCGTCTTCCCACGGTGGCCGCCCTCTTGTCCCCTTCTTGCCAATCTAACAACACCTGAGGTATTTCTTCTTACTCCAGCTGCCTTGTCCTTATGTCAAAAATCCTTACCGGCCAAAACATGGGTCGGTAGGCTTGTAATTCAGCTGGAAGTTCCTCTCAACCCTCTTCTCACCCACAGCCTTCTTTAGTTGGGGAACGTGAAATATTGGGTGTATTCTTGCTGCCTCGGGTAATTGTAAACGAAAAGCTACTTTCCCCACCTGCTGTACCCGTGCAGGGAGCTTCAGTCAATTGGCCCAACACATCACCGCCTGTCCCCTGCTCCACTACGCACATTTCCCAAAATTGAAACCATGACTCAGCGTCCATTATTTTTGTAAATGCGTCTGTGTCACCCAGCTGTCCTGCCAAGGCTGGGTCACTGCAGATTTTCTTCTTTTCTCCATCCACCACATACAGCATAGACATTTCTTTCCAGTTAATAACCACCTCACCCAGTTTTGCCAACCATGCAATACCCAATATTAAATCCACTCCACCGAGATCAAACACATGCATGTCCTCCTCTACCTTCACATTACCCAGCTTCAATCCCACCTTTTCACATCGCCCCCGAGTCCACTTCTTACACCCGTCACCCAAACTCACCGCGTATGTGGCCGTTTCTGTTACCGGAAGCCTCAGTTCCTCCACCACCTTCCGGCTAATGAAATTGTGGCTGGCCCTACTATCGATCAGGACTACCACTCTTCTCTCCCCTATCAACCCGGTCAACTTCAGGGTCTTGGAAGGCGTCAGCCCCTCCGCCGCACATGCCGACAGCTCCAGGGTTTTTGCTTCCAGGTTAAAGTTTTCCTCCCATTCCTCCTCCTCGTCTTCCGCTAGTAACAGGACCCTTAAGCTCTTCTCCGCACATCGATGACCCGGAGCGAATGGTCCACCGCATCGGAAACACCTTCCTTCTTCCCGCCTCTTCAGAAACTCTGGATAAGGTAAGTTTCTGACCATTCTTCCCCTGTTATCGCCTCCCGATGTGGTAACATCCATCTTTCCCTCCTCATCCTTCCTTCTAATGGTAAGGCCGTTCGACTAATGACTAGGAGACCGTTTTGAGTGTAAAACCGTTCGGCCTTTTACTGTAGCTATAAGACCGTTCAGTTCTTCCCGTCCTCTTCCATTCTGTTCTGGCAGTCCCCTCACGTTCGGTTCCGGTCTTCTCACGTTCGGATCCAACAGTCCTCTTCTACTGTTCGGCTCAATTCCCACTATCTTTATACCGTTTGGCTCTCTTCCCACTATATTTATACCGTTCGGCTCTTTATCTATCGAACCATGCAGCTTCATCGCTTTTGGCTGAATAGGGCCACCAGCCGAGAGAGTGGACAACTCCGTCTGCTTCAGGTCTATTTCTATCTCGGACTGCTCGGCAACCTCACCTGGGATATTGCGCTTGACCTCAGACCACTCGACAACCCTCGATCGGCCTGTGTTATAGCGATCGGCCTCGCACTGTGTCCACTGACCGCTCGTTCGTCCCCAATACGACTGGTCTTCTATGTCCTCGGACCGCTTGGCAAATCTCGATCGGCTTGAGTTATAGCGATCGGCCTCGGACTGTGTCCACTGACCGCTCGTTCGTCTCTCAGATGACTCGTCTTCTATCCCGCTCCCTTTCCTTACCTTTTCGCCTCCCTGAACATACTCTTCCCCTGTCGCCACCTGTTTCGATGCCGCCAAACGCTCAACAATGGTTCCAAACCTTATCACCAGGGCCTCCTTCAAGCCATCCCAGGAACGGTTCTTGGCTTTCTCCTTCCAGGCTCTGAACCAGTAGCCCGCGCTGCCCTCCATGCTTATGTCCGCGAACTGCACTTTCTCCTCCTCCGCTACTCCTTGAAGCTCGAAAACCCTCTCCGCCCTATTGATCCAGTTTAACGGGTCCAACCCTTCGAAAGCGGTTAATTCAACCCTTTTCCGCCATTGATTTTGCACCTCCTGGTGATCGCCACAGTGATTGTGGGTTTGGGTCCCACCGTAATCGCCACCCACTCTCCCTCCAATATCCTCCTCGCACCGTCGCTGGTTCCCTTTGACGTAAGCATGACTTCCACCTGATTGTTCGTCATTGTTGTGAGCCCGCGCCCCCATCATCCTCATTATTTCTTGCAAATCTTGGCGTATTGCAGCATAATCTGGTCGTAGCTCCCCTATCTGCGCCTTCATTCTATCAACCGCAATTTCCTTCACCCCACTCCGATCCGGCAGGTCGGACCAAATGATAGGTTTTTTAATCAAGAACCTATGAATAGCACTAGAAACACAACACCGAACAGGTACTCTGAATTATACAGCCTTCTTTTATTGAAAAGAATCAACAAGAATGGTGTTACAACGTAACCCGAGAGCTTAACCTCTCTCCAAAGAACTACAAGAGTTCCCGCAAAACAATAATACTCCATAAAACTCCCCTCCACTTACAACTAATCTCCCTTATATACAAGGTATCCTCAACCAACCCCCTAACCCCTTAACTGCCTAGACAGTTAAGTTATGTAACTGTCTTTCTCCTACTATACACAAGTAGAGGTCTAACATGGTACAAGCCAAGAAAGATAATATCTTGCATGCTTTAAATACTAGCAAAGGAAAATAAAAATCATGGATCATAAACTTAGGAACAATTTATATTATTTTCTAAGGAACTTTATAAAAGTTGGTTTGTGTTATACTCACTCTATTCTTTGTTCTAGGGGTGAACTCTGTTTTATTTATTTTCTTTCTCTCCCTTTGTCCTTTTGTTGCAAGATACACATCTCAATAAATATGAATATTAATATTAATTTAAAGAGATCTAAGGTGATATTTCGTAATTTGGAGTCAAAGCTGATTGAGCATATCAAGAAAAGTGAAATGTCATTTTGTCTCGCTAGTACTGGATTTGAAGCACCTCGCTGAAGGACACCGAACCTGACATGATGCAAAGTTTGTTTCCTCCTCACACACAACCACACAACTTCTTTTCATGGCTCACCTTAGCAAATGATGTCCACATTCCACCTTCCCACCAC